AAGTCGTGGCCACGCATTATTTTTATTTATACAGGATGTCACCAGCGGGGCTCCGTACCTGTCCCCGCAGTTTAGCAATCCGTACTCTCAGTTTATAAACTGTGCCCACGGATTTGTAAACTGTACTGTACTGAAGTGACGCTCATGCACCTGATCTCATGTATGTGAAAGCTACAGCACAATATCCTACCTACTTCTTTAGTAATGTCTGCTTTATGTCACGTTAACGTTACTTGCTTATATTTATCTTTTCATCATGAAAGGTCGACACAGTTGTGTTTCTCCCTGGCTGTACTGCCACCTGCTGGTGAGATGTGGTGTGGCGCTCAAGATACAACTTACTTGTTTGAATGTTTTTTGAATGTTTTGAATAAAATCAAGGAAATCATGGAACGTTCAGCAGTTAAACATGCACTGAAATGTTGAGCATTTTGTTGGGGTAAATCATGGAAACATTAAACGACAAAAGTCCAACTCCTATATAAATGTTACCAAAAAAAGTTGCCACCTTATTTAGCACCTGCGGTCTTCTAAGGTCATTTTCTGGCACTGTATCTCCTTCAGAAATGTATATTTAGTTTGTTAGTGTGATCTGTTAGTGACCAGTGTTATACTGTTTATGAGATTAAGAGATGTAAAAGATTGCAAGTTAGTTATTAAGCAGAGTTTTGTGGTCCTATTGTAGTCCTATTGGTCACTCAGTGGAATTAGATTAGACAGTCGTGATGTGATCCCCTGATTTTGGTCTATGTGCGTATATGTCCAGGCTTTTTGCTACAATTTTTTAATGTATCCCCTCCAAATACTGTATATATATGTATATATATATATATATATATATATATATATATATATATGTTTTTAACTGTACCTAATTCTTTACTTCTGAATCAACATGCAGAAATGTGAAAATGTGAAAGCACTTAGCAGTATCTTCTTTTATAGGTACCTAATTCTTTACTTCCTGAGGGCAGGTAGCCACACATACCACCATCCGCTACCATCTTAGTGTCGCTGCTGTGCTGAGAACGGCCCACCATCCAAGTAATATCTGGTCAGAGGTGGCAACAGATGAGCTACAGTCAGTATTTAAACTTATATAGAAGATATTTGTGATACAAATGGTCAATTTGTGTAGCTGTAAGGTGTAAGATGCCAAATCAGTATAGCGTCAACAGTTCAAAAATAATGGCTTAATCAAAGTTTGCACATTTTTCCATAAGACAAAAATGGAGGCTTTCTTTTAAAGCCACTGCACCAGGGCCGTAGCCAAACAGGTTGCTGTCTATCCACTGATGCATAACACAACTACTTTTGGTTTCCTCAAGAATCTTGTATTCGTTATTTCAGCATATTCAGATTCAGATGGTTCTTTTATAGCTTTTTATGGAGCCTCTAAAGTGAAGTGTTTTCAATAATGCATGGCCACAAATTAATATATTGAGACCGCAAATTTATATATTGGGGCCTTTGCACCAGGGCCGTAGCCAAGGGGTGACCAGGAGTGGCCGGTGCCACCCTTCCATGTGCGTGGCCACCCTTCTGATCAGCCCAGTTAAACAAACTAAGACAGTCAGCTATCATTAATAAAACACTCACCACAGAAAAGTTACTACTTCGTGTGAACAGTTTCATGATGAAAATCTGTCATCAGGGTTGTTACCAACCAGTTATGCTCTGACACTGCACTCAATAATCAGCCTGTGAGTGAACACAGCTCAAAACATTAACATTGCTCATGTTTATTTTGCATGAGAAAGCAGCTAACACTGGCCTTTTACATTAAGGAAGAAAATTAAAAACACCTAAATAAATCTCTACATCAGCAGTTCAGCACAGAGCACAGCACAGTTCAACACATTTTTCCACATAACATAATGAAAATCATGAGGAAATCGCTTTCAGTTTTACAGAGTGTAACTATTTAAAAATGTGGTTAATAATGCTGTTGTTCTGTTAAGCTTCATAGAATAATGACCACATCAATAACTTACCCAGTACACTTCAGTGAGCTACATATGAAGTAAGCTATACGATGGTAAGATCATGGCCGTTAACTAGCTATGAGGACACCGAGGTCCGAACCTCAGAAGGGTCAGTATCTCCATTCTTGAGCTTTAATGTGGAAGCAGTGCCGTTCTGAACATGCCGTATCCTGCTCTGAGACGTAGCTCTCACATGCCTACTCAATCAAATAGTAATAAAAAAAATACAAATAATATTTATTAAGCTGCATTTTTTAAGATAGTTAAATGTGATTTGTTTTCTGGGAGTGTCGCTGTGTTATGGCCAACCAAATCATTATGCTCTAAGCCAGTGGTTCCCAAGTCCTGGTTCCCACTTCCTGCCAAAACACACCCACGTCAACTCAGGAGGGGCTTGTTAATTAGCAGATCTGTTGGATCAGGTGTGTTGAGACCGGGGCAAACACTAAAATGTGCAGAGCAGGTTGTCAGGCCCCAGATAGCGAGCAAATATCAGTCAGCTGGCTTGATAAGGTCGGCACCCTGCTGACTGTTTGCCACTGCTCGTCCACCCTTGGACCACCCAGACTATTGTCCAGCGTAAAAGGTCTAACTAGTTTTTAATCTTCTCAAACAGAGTTTAAATGCTCACAGCCTTTTATTTTGTAAAACGAACTAGGACAAATATTACAAACAATTGCAATATAAATAAATAACTAAATAATGACTTGGTCTAATATATAATGATTTTGTTGAAATGTTATTGCTGACACTGTGCTAGATTAAAATTAAAAGCATAATGAAAGAAAGAAATGAAGGAAAAATGAAGGAAATTAGACTGTGAGTGGAAAATGAGTGATTAAAAGTGACCTTTGCTTAACCACCAGTGGGCCGCCTGGGAAACGCTGAGCAAAAAGTCAGGATCACCAGCTTTGCCATTGGAGGGCCAACGCTGGCCCAGTGTATTCTTGCTATTGGGGGCCCCATCATGTACGCAACTTGAGGACACTGAGGTCTTTTAGTTTTTGAAGCATTTTATGAGATCCAGTATGAAAACAGTGATGAGTGTATACTATCAGCAGTGACTGATTCTCAGCTGACCTCAGAACAGCTGTGGTTTGGCCTTAGACTTCTCTTCCTGATGTGTTTATCTCTGTATGAGATGCTATGCTAATGCTATTCAGAGCAACTTTGACTTACTAGGACCACACCTAATGTTGCTGGTTCCTGTTCAGGTCAGGCTACAGGCTCTGGAGTTGGCTAGATTAGTGATTAGATGAAAAATGACTGGTAGTTCAAAGTTCTTGTATTGTGTTACTCACTAATCACTGCTGAAAAAATGTAGACCATTAGAACCATTAGGATTAAAACCTGATGGTTTTGCTTTCCTATGGGAATTGGCTTAATGGTTGCCATAAGAGACGACTAGTTTCATGTAGGACACCTTTAGATTCCATTAGGAAATCATCAAATGCATGTGGAATCAGTCCCATATCACCTGTTAAACCATTACAATCCTTTTCTGTGATATCAACCCATCAGGTGACACAACATATCATTAGTGACTATTAGACACCAGAAACCTTTAATGGTTTCTATGATAGTTTTTAGCAGGGATAACATTGTACAACTGGCATGAGTCAAGTGCCGTCAAGTTGTTTCGGACTCCTGGCGACCATATGGATTGTGTTTCTCCTGAATATCCTGTCTTCTGTTTGGGTCTTCGGCTTCTGAACGGCTGGTTTGTTTCCTCTGATTGTATCCATCCATCTTGTAGCTGGTCATTCTCTTTTACCTTCAACTCTACTAAGCATATTGGTCTTTTCCAATGAATCGGTTCTTTTAGAATATGTCCAAAGGAAGAGCTTCAGTTTGATTATCGGGGCTTCAAGTGAGAGGTGAGTCTTGATTTGGTTTAGGATCCATTCTTTTTTTTTTTGCCGTCCAATGTACTCTTAAAAGTCTTTGCTAAGTTCAAAGGCATCTATATTTTTCCTGTCACGCTTATTTATTGTCCAGCTTTCACATCCATTAAGAACCGCAGAGAAGACCACAGCCTGGACAATTCAGATTTTTGTTTGTAGAGACAAATAATTGCATTTAAAGATCCTTTTAGCTGAAAATAAGTGGGTAGCCTTAATAAATAGTTAAATGGATAATTAAATAAAATTAAACAGGGTAACTGGAGTTCAGCAGTTTATGGAAGACTTAGGAAAGGATGGGAAAGGAACGAATGAAAGGAAAAGGTACATAACGATTGTGGACAAGTAGAAAAGGAGCAATTATTTGGTAAAAATATAAATAAATGAAAGACTGACAGCTGGTGTAATACACTTATTCAGCAGTTAGTTTAGTTACTACGGAGCCCTAATGCGTGGCCAAGACTTAGTTAGGCATGATCTTGTTCCCATGCCTTACTAAGTCGTGGCCATGACTTAATTATCTCATTCCCACGCCTTACTAACTCTTGGACACGCATTAGGATCTCATTCCCACCCGTTATTAAGTCGTGGGCACGCATTATTTTTTATTTATACAGGATGTCACCAGCAGGGCTCCGTAAGTCACTGCAAAATGGACATCTCTAAAATTTTGATCCCAGTTATGATGAGGCAACTATGAGAAATGAGTATCCGATCACATGTACTACTGTAATGTCTACGCTTTATCATGTAAGCTAAATACTCTTTACAGCTGAGTGCATGTTTAATGATGCAGACTAGATTTAATCAGACGTGAATCCAGACACTGTGAATGCTATAGTAGGTTAAGTTGTTACCCAGCCAAATATTATTCTCTCATAATGTTACTGCCCACATTTTCCCCTCGTAGTTTGCCACCCCAATAAAACTGCTGGGTCCAACGTGGCCACCCCATTGATAAGGAGGCTACGCCCCATGTTTACCTATATATTTTTGGGATTGTGTTGGGAGAGTTACGTCCAACCTGGCAACCTCACTGCAGGCCTGTGAGGCTGTGTTGTCGTGGCTCTGCCTGTTTGAGCCCGATGGCTGCAGCCCATTGGGCAGGGAGGGCTCGCGTCAGCACGGTGGGTCGACTGTGCGTTCATGGAGCTGCGAGTCCGCGCTGCTGAATCACATGTGCGTCGCTGGTGAGGGACACGGAGCTCAGATCTACCCTGGACAAACGCTTATTCGACCGATGCGCCTCGGAGAGCCTCTCAGCTCCACTCTGTCCAAGTGATTTAGCAGATTTTCACCGCCATGTCTACGGAAAAGCAGAACATCCCCGAGGAGAACCTGCAAGGTAAAGGCTGGGAGTGGGCCAGCTTTGAGAACAACACTGGCTTTCTTTCACGAAGCTGAAGTCAGGTTCTTATTCGAATTTTCCGTTCCACCTTAAATGGTACAGAGTTTACATTCTGGCGCTTCAGGTTTTTCTGTGTAATTGCGGCACCATTTAAGGTGGAACGTGTAAATTCGAGTAAGCAGCTGGTGAATAGGGAGACAACTTAAGCCTCGTCTTTATTCTTTTTTCCTTTTACCATCATGGATTGAATCAGTGCTTCGTTTTGGTCGGTTCTGTGTTGCCCTGATTTGTGTAATGAGTCCCTAAATGTAGGACAGCTTAATATTAACCTGAATATGTCTGATATTAGGATTGCTACTGCGTCAACGACGTCAGTTTTGGGCGTATAAAAAGCATTACGTTATTTACTAGACGATAAATGGGACCCTAAACGTCTGACCGATGTTATCCAGCTGCAGTGTGGTGGTCCGCATGGTCTGATGACGCATAAATAAAATAAAATTAAATGTAAATGAAGTGTCATATCCACGAATAAGTGTTTCTCTAATGTTGCCCCTGTTGCCACGCGTGGAGGTTTTTTTGCGTGAAATCTGGGTTTTTGCGATGCGTGTCGTGTCGACAACAACAATAGAAAACATGGGACAAAAATAAATAATTAAATAAACACAGTAAATAAATAAAACCGCCCACCATTCACGCGCTTGCTTCAGCCTATGACGTAATATGCGATGGGAGGGGCTACGGAAGGACGTGAATCCTATTGGCTGTTGAGCGGGATAAACAAAAGACCTTATGCGGAGGACACAATAAGTGGTCATGTGCTATTTAAAGGTATAAGGATGGCTGTTTATATCTCAAGCAAACTTGTCCTCTGTTGATCTGATAGCTTTAATCCTTGAGCCTCATCCGTGGCACTTACCCAGGGCTCAGTGATCACGCTGGCATAGTGCCCAGCATGACAAGTCCATAGACCTCTGTCATGACACGTTAGAACCCTTTATGATATACACCAATAGACCTGTCCGGACATGCCACAGGCCCTCTTGGCTGATCTGTTGAGCTCTATAGGCCTGTCAGGACACTGTATAACCCTTCATGAAAGGTGTAGACCTTTATAGACCTCTCATGATGCTGCTCATGGCTTCTACAGACATGTTATGACCAATATGTACACCAATAAGACTTGTAACGACATGTTAATAACTGTCAAGACAGGTCTATAGACCTCAACAGAATTGTTACGACAGGTTATAACCCTATAAACGACAGATTAGATGCACAAACAGACCTGTCATGCCATGTTGAAAGCCTTCATGTTAGACCTATAGACCTCCATCAAGATCAACCTTTCATAATAGGTATAGATGTCTATAGACCTGTCTGGACATGCTACAGACCTTTGTGGCTGATCTGTTGAGCTCTGTAGGCCTATCAGGACATTATATAACCCTTCATGAAAAGTGTAGACCTTTATAAACCTGTCATGATGCTGTTCATGGCTTCTATAGACATGTTATGACCGATATGTACACCAGTTAGACTTGTAACAACATGTTAAAAACTGTCAAGACAGGTCTATAGACCTCAACAGTATTGTTACGACATGTTATAACCCTTAACGACAAATGAGACGCTTTAACGGACTTGTCATGCCATGTTGAAAGCCTTCGTGTTAGACCTATAGACCTCCCTCAGGACGTGATATAACTCTTTGTAATAGGTATAGACGTCTATAGAGCGGTCATGACATGTCACAGCTGTTCATAGCCTCTATAGACATATTTTACCCATTATGAGAGACACATACACTGCAAAAAATGGTATCTTGTCAAGGGAAAGGATCTTGAATCTAGTCGATATATTTAATATTTCCCATTTGGAGATGGTTGTGCACTGATTGTAAGATTATCTAGCTTATTTCCAGCATTTTTTTACTAGTTTAAGGTCATTTTATTACATAAAATTATCTCACTATACTGGCAGATAAATTTGCTGGTTTTAAGCACATTTCTCAAAACAAGCAAAATAATCTATGAGATAATTTAACTTGATAAAATTACTGAAAACAAGTAAAAATGTCTAGAAATAGGTTAAATAACCTTAAATTACTTACAACAATCTCAACAGAAGAAATATTATATTTTTTGCTTAGATTTATGATAATTTTGCTTGACAACATACCATTTTTTCTAGTGTACACTGATTAGACTTATAAAGATAGGTCTATAGATCTCCGTATACCTCCATGGCAGGTCTATTAACCTCTATAGACCTGTCATAACAAGTTATAACCCCTTCATTAAAGATTGTTGTCATGGCAAGTATGGTTTTCTAGTAGTAGTAGCAATGCCATGATCTCCAGATGATTTTATGGCAGTGCCTTTCTAGAATGACAGTATAAAGCACAAGCTTGTTTTGGTCTTTAAAGTTCATGACTCCCTATGTTATGTTGTTTTTAATGCATGAATGTTGGTTGCACTGTGATGAGAACACTTTTCAGATTTAATCTTGAAATATGTATTTTTTCTAGGAATGATTTACCAGGTTGAGAACAATAAACATTAGCCTGAACATGCTTAAGGCAGCACTATATGTATAGTTCAGATTCTGAGTTTTAACATGCTTGTTCTTTTGGCTCCAGGCTCTTGGGTGGAACTGCACTTCAATAATGGAGGTGGAGGAGTTTCCAAAACAGGGGTGGAGGATCAGGCTGCCAGCGCCGCTCCCAGCGGAGACATGGAGAAGATGCTGCTGGATGCGCAGCACGAGTCTGGCAGGAGCAGCTCTAGAGGGAGTCTACCCTGTGATAGGTCAGTCTGTATGCTATGACTGGTCACTGTGTACAGTGAAATATGTAATTTCAGGCCTTTCATAAGTTATTGGACTAATATCCAATGCCATATTGTTTCTGTCACAAGAAATGGTAACTATAGGACATGGAAAAAAATCCTAATGTAAAGTCTCTTAATATAGCAAACTTGTTATTGTAATATTTACATATTTATTTATATAGCTGCTGTCATAAAATGCTTTGTATCTACAAGGGAAAATGATAATAAAAAAAAACATTTTTAACTAATAATGATATTTTATTCCAGGTAATTTTAGACCACTTCTGTAGGTCCATTTTTCACGTCACCTGGCATTTTTTTAAATGGTGAAATGAAATCATGAAAGGAGCTGAGAGGTTTTCTTTTGGACTAACAAACTAATATTCAATACTGTATTCATTTATTCTACAGGTTACTTGGAAGGTCTTTCTTATATTTGCATTTCAAGGGTGTGTTGCTCATAAAACAGTCTTTACTGCAGATTGGCACATTTACAAAACAACAGTTTTGATGATCTGTTGTCTCAAAGGCACTGCAAATGAAATGTTTTCTTTCTTTTACCTCTTCAGTCCTCCAAGATCCCAGACTCCTTTGCACTTGTGCAGGGGCTCAGAGGTTCACAGCTCAGGAGAAAAGAACAGCTCACAGGTATGTTTTGGTCTTATGGTGGGTTTAGTAACTGAAGTGACAGTCGGTTGGGTCTCCGCGTCTCCTTATGTAAGGTGGATGGTACTGTGTAGACCTCTTTCCTGGACCAAAGATGGAATGTAAAGCTGCACTATGCAAGATGTTTAGTTTAAATTGAAAGAAGTATTACTGAGTCAGGAGGAAAAAAACTTGCTAAATTAGGGTGTCTGTATGCTGCTACGGGTCCACCTGTAAAGCATGAAATAGTCATTTAAAAGTTGGAGGTGTTGAGCTGGATTTTGTGGGAATTTTGCGAACTACATTGTACGGCTTTACATATTAACATCACAAGCACAGGCTCAAACAGGAGGTCTAGCTCAATGTTTAGGTTCTAAATGCAAAATTAACATTACACTGATAAACATATGATGACAATCGTAGATACTTCACTTGCATCCTCAGAAGACACATCTTCACAGAGTCCTCTTTGATTTCTCTTTCACTCATAGTCATCAGATTCATCCACACGGGGAAGGGTCAAAAGCACAACTGACGTTACAAAATATTCTTCCACACATTTACACATTCCCACCAGAGAGTCCCCTAAACTTACATAGTGTAGCTTTAATGATTTTGATACTTCATCAAGTAGAACTGACTGGATTTCTAAAATATGATCAAAAAAATTCTTTTTCAGAACAGAAAGTGTGTTTACCATAACTCTCTTGTCTTGTTTTGGTTCTAGTCTGATGAGGATTACCTGGAGAGGAGAAGAGAGGTAGACAACCTGATGAAGAAAAATGCTGATTGGATATGGGACTGGTCAAGCCGACTGGAAAACATACCACCCAAGTAAATTGAGCATTACATTCTGATAGCCTTTAACAATGATGACAAACAATACTAATAACTAGGGATGTGCTGATATGGGAATGTGGGCCGGTAAGGATATCTGATATTTTTCATTTGCATATCTGCCGATGCCGATACATAATATAAATATACATTTATATAATGTAGAAACTGAGACTACATCCTGGATTAGCTTTAAGGAGAAATATCACATTGATTTCTATAGGGTTATAAATGCAGTACAATTAATAAAATCCAGCCATTTTAGCATATCTTAGCCAGTGTACAATAAATACAGTCATATGCAAAAGTTTGGTCACCCCTAGTCAAATGACGTTATGTTGATTTTCTAAGTAAAAACGTATCCTCTAAACCTAAATGTGATGTTTTTATGCAAATTTGAGGGTACAATGTCTTATCTATTTTCCATATTAGAAAAATATTTTATACAAAAAATTATAAAATGTGCCATAACTTTTGCAGAGGCTACCTTTTATGTTTTCCCAATATGTTTAAATTCTGCAAATAAACAGTTATTGTGCATTAAAATAAAATGTGCTCTGGGCAGGATGTGTTAACATATTTTCACTTAGAAAATACATTTTTAGAGCAATTATCTGGTGATACTGATATGAATGATATCACTGTTATTAGTAGGGATGCACTATACACAATAATTACATGGCTAAAATGTCTAAAATGTAATATATTGAATTGTAGTACATTAGCCTATATGGTGGTGCTGTCAGAGGAACTTTAAAGCACAAGGGAATAGAAACATTTACAACAACAAAATATTACTCCATGTAATTTTGGACTCTTTCTTTTAGTCCATGCATCATGAAATGTTCACACAGTTTAAAGCCGTAAAAATGGAGATGTGACAGTGACTGTGTATTTCAACATGCATTATAATAATAGTGAAAAGCAGAATCTGACACAACCTGGAAAACACTGAGTTGCTCAACTGTTTTGACTGTATATGCAACAGTGTTGATGTTCAGAGCAATGTCTATATATAACACACAGCTTAATGAGCCGAGGTGACTTTAGGGCAAAGGTGTTTTAAATGGATTTGTGCTCTGTGTTTTCTTTCCAGAGAGTTCTTGCTGAAGCAGCCCAAACGTTCCAGCACTCTGAGTATCAGGAACACCAGCGTGATGAAGAAGGGAGGAATCTTCTCCGCTGAGTTCCTGAAAGTCTTCCTCCCATCTCTTATAATTTCCCACATCCTTGCTCTGGGGCTTGGGTAAGTACACAGAGCCCAGCTGGTGAAATGGCCAGCGAAAAAGGAAAGGGGGGTGGGTCACTATTGTTTGGTGCTGTTTCAGTGTTATTTACTTTACCTAGTGTGCTCGAATTCAAGGCTGTAGTCAATATTGAACTGTAACGTTTAGTACATTAAGTGTCAGTACAGTGTAATATTAACACATACAGAGGGTACATTTGGTGTACTATTTTTGACCTCAGTGTGGGCAGTGGGGGACGTGCTGGAATGCATGCTAGCCTGTTTTTAGCATGACATGGCAGTTCACAGCTAAAAGGGGAGTGTTAGCTTTCCAAAGCTGGCCTGGAAAACATGGCAGAATTACCTGAGCTTTCTCCGAAAGACATGAGCTCTAGGAACGTCCTGGCCTACACATTACCCAGAGATGTTCACTGTTGAGCCACATACTGACACAGTGGTATTCAGTTCCAGGCCTTGGGCACCGCGACATGTGGTACTGTTTTAACTATCACGCCTACAGCCGTGTGCAAAATCACGTTTTGCTGAATAACTTTAAGTAAGTAAATCAACACATTCTCTACAAGGAACAAACTTAAATATGGCATTTTTACTGCATAGTTTCTGTTCATTTGTTGAGTTTAACATATTGGGAAAAAAAAAATCAACATAAAATGTAAATGTGCCATAACTTTTATATTTTATCTTTTCTTCAAAATGTATAGCAAATAAACAGTAACTGTCCATTATAATGTGCAGAAGTGTGTTCTCTGTAGGGAATATGTTAACTTATTTTCACTTATTTTCACTTATTTGACCAGGGGCGCTAAAACTTCCGCATACAACTGTAGTTCACGTCAAGTGTATTGCTGTTAACAGAGCAACATATAGCAGCAAGGGAGGATCTGATTGTGAGTAAGCTTCTAACAGATGCTGCCATTGTTATTCAAAAGGCCAACTAAACCTTTTTACCCTACAACAGTGGGTATTTGTGATATGGACAAACCTGCAGGATTAAGTGAGGCATTAGGAGTAACGTCCTCCTAACAGAGTCAGCCACAGTTGGTGATAATGGAAACTAATCTTTTGATAATAGTTGATGATATAAAACTGTAGCCTGTGAATGCTTAAAACTTTTTTTTTTGCTGTCCATAGCAAGACAGACACACTTAGCATGTCCTAATTTGATAAAGTGACCTGTTACCTTGCTTTAAATGTAAACTAACAAAACTAACAAATGACTCAATGTTTACAGCCAATTGGCATGTAACTTTCCCCAGAACTCCCTTTCCTCTCAGAGCTAGTCTTTGGCCAGACATGCTACTGTTTCTGCAGATCCTCATTGATACTATAAATGATTTATGATGCACATTCATACTTAAAATCCCAAGTGGAGGAACATTTAAAGGAATAGTTTGCCTAAAAATCGAAATTAGTCATTTGCAGTAACACTTTATTTGGATAGTCTGCTGTAGATGCTTATATTGCATTATATTATATTGAGTTTCATCAAAGAGTTTAACATCTATAAATAATATATTGGGGGCTATCCAAACAAAATGGGACCCAGTTTTCCCCTTACCCCAAATATAGTCTACCGGACTGTTTGGTGTACAAAGTTTGCTTTTTAAAGGGGAAGTCCACCAATTTTTCTACATAATTAAAAGGTTAAGATGTAAACAAAGTATGTAGTTTCAGAAAACACACTGGCAAGGCTTTTTGAGATTATTAAATTCATCCCAGGCTAACTTTAGCTTTATTTGTTACCTACATTCGCCACATAGCTGTGATGTGAGCAAAGTTACTCATAGTTCATCTTTTGTAGTTCAAAAATAAAGAACTGAAGAAACCAGACATACCTCGACTGACTATTTTTGGGCTAAGGGGAGAATCTAATTTCTTTAATGCTTAAATGAACTGTTGTAGCTCCTATAAGCAACTATGAATTAGCTCTAAATGTAACTTTTTTTGCCTAATTGGTTGTTTTTTCTTCTGTTTCTTTCAGAGTGTACATCGGAAGGCGCATTCCTACCTCCCACGGCACGTTCTGAGGGAAAACATACACAATCTCAAATCTGCACCTTCACCATCTCTGCTGCTTTGTCTTGAATCTGTGTTCCAGTAGATACAAATAGGTCAGGCTCACGTGACCCGTTTCCTCTTACTGGCCGTGTGCCGCACTGCCGTTGTTGCCCCTCGTGTATTCCTCTGGCTCTTTCCCATAGTTCCTCCCTGAGCCGCTTTTAAAGCACAGACTGCACTGTCATTCTACGAAGGGAGGCCATTTTGGGTTTTAAGGCAGTGAGCCGAGTCATAGTCATGTGCTCCACTTTCCATCCTTGAGTCCTTTCTTGTGCAGATATATAGAACCTATTTAAAAAGAAACACCTGTAATGTGAACAGAAAGGATGTGAAACTAAGATGTAAGCAAGGGGTGCAGGAGGACACCAAGACGCTTGATTTGAAAACACTACAGGAGAGTATTTTACAGAGCAGGATTTCTTAGTGAGCGTAATGTGAGGCTTGTCCAGAAAAAAAAAGTCCATTACTTCTCTTCCTGTTGGACAGGCGTGACTTTCGGCTGAAAGCAATACTCAAGCGACTTTCAATGTCATCGAGTGCGTTTACATGCACTCAATAATCCGATCATAATCAGATTTCTGCAAATATCTGATTATATAAATGGTCATATAAACAGCATACTCTGATTTCTTAGAGCATAGCATGGTCTAGAAATCAGATCTAGAGAGCTGGAATTCAGCTCAGTGCATGTAGACTCTTACTCGGATTTCTTTCATATTCTCAGTTTAGGCATATGTGAACATACCACGGTACCGGAAATAAGCGAGCAGTTTAGGAGCAACGCTGAAACCAAATGTGCTTGACAAAATGAAGGATTTAAATATTATTCATCTTCTAGATGATGTATATTCATAGTTTCAGGTAAAGTGGCGTAGGTAAAGCATGACGTTTTACATTGCGTTTATGTCGTCTTCTGGCCGGTTGCAAAGCAGAAATCTGATTACTGCCTGAATCACGTACACCCGGAGTTTTCACATTATCTGATTACTCAAGTGCATGTAAAAGCGTTGGTCAGATTACTGACAAAACCTGATTTTCTGCAGTTATTGGATTAAGTGCATGTAAACACATTATCTACCAGATCTTTAATGTACTGTTGAGTATCAGACACTGAACAAGATCGCAATACCCAATGACTTGAAACTTGCTTACAACAGTAGCTATTGGGCAGACACTGAACTACATAAAAAATATTTAAAATTAGTGACTGATAAATTCTAAATGGTTATGCTTGAACGGGACACGTCTTGGGAGACTGACGTTAGATTGTCTTTGGTTTTCAGCAAAGCTTTATTCTAATTTCAAATGGTGAAGTAACGCAATACAAAAAAGGAGTTCTGGTTACTTTTGCTGTCCTGAGGGTTTTCTTGTATTCATGGCGATCAGGTGTTACCAGTAAAAACTCTACCAGTAATGAATTACCATAAATTCTACCCTCTGGAAAACTAGTCCCATCACAGAGAACAAATAACCCAGCTGTATGGCTCACAAATACCTTAAGAATCATATAAATGTTTTATTGGTAGAATTCAGCAACTGCCCACATCTATCTGCCATATGTTGCATGTGGACAATTGACCACATGTAACATATGGCAGATAGAGATAAGGTTGAAAAAGGTTGGAATAATACTTTTGTTTATCTGTTATCTGACTAACTGAGAAATCCTGCTGTGTAAAACAGTCTTCAGGTACGGCAGAGTATTCTCCAGACCTGTGGGTTTGTACGTAAAGATGCTTGAGAATTATTCGTGGTCATCGTCTGCATGAGAAGGGCTTGAGTAAGACTGCAGATCTAGGATCAGTTTTTAACCGTCCATATGGAAATGAACAGTAAGCACAGAGAGGAGCTGCTCCTACATCAGCACTCGCACTTATGAGATGCTGAAAGATCGATTAGGCAGGCAGAGAACGATGGTCAGCGGTTTAAAGTAAGAAGTGCATGGGGAATCATGATCACAGAGAACTGTTGGTTATTCAGTACTGAAAATATATCTAAATAGAAGATTTAGAGGTCGATTAGTTTCTCAAAAAAGATCTTTACCAAATACTTTTGACATGTGATTGTGACACTACAAGGAAAGACAGTTTTTTTTTTTCATTGTTGTGATATTTAACTCAGGTAAGCATCAGGTAAGAGATAAAGGTGTATCATTAACTGGCCAGAAGCAAATGCGTACAGGGTAGCAATGCACAGGTACCAAAACAGAGGAAAACACTCATTTCTCAGTGAAAGGAGTGCAACAGTGTTCAAGGAGAATTCCACTGATTTTAACTGCATAATTCAGTTATTAAGATGTGAACAAAGTTATTCACATATGTTAAATGTGAAACGGTACATTGTAGAGAAACCTGCTGCTGATTTCTTTGCAGTGTTGGTGATAATGAACCAAGGAAAATGGGTATAATGCAAATATAACCATTGTTTTTGCTATCTAAAATGACCAGTGAACCTACATGCGTCAGTTTTCATATATAATATTGATAATGGTAAAACAGGGGTTAATCAAAAAACTTTATTTGGGGACTATTTTCCCATATAACACCCTGCATGTACCTCTCCATCATGAATGACTTTTTAAACATATATAAAGTTTAGGAGAAAACCTTATTAAAACTGTTGTAAAACAATGTGTCAGACATCAGGCAGCGTATTCATAACCATGTCATAATAATGTGATGTAGGCATTAAACACTTTGGATGTCTGGTTCCTATCACCCCCACTGTGAACAATTCTGATACAGAGAGTATCTGTAGAACAGCATTTCATATCAGACCTCTCTTTATGTTTAAATCTTAATCATTTACTTATTTAAGCAGACATTTTGCAAATTTGGTGGAAATTGGTGGAATTCCCCTTCAAAAATCATTTGACAACTGGCAAGTACAAATACAAACACAGAATGTAAATACAGAATGTTGTCAAAATATAGTTTCACCTTTTTCTGTTGAAAGAAAAACAAAACATGGAACTAAAATCTCTCCAAATTGGCCAATTTTCTTCTTTGCACAAGGGCTGCACAAAGGCAGCCTGCTTTTCTTTATATAGTGTTGATTGCGTATTCGAGTTTGCCTTATACTGTACTGAAATCGAAATCTAGAATCTCTGAACCTTCTAAAGCTCAACTTCATTAAGAATCTAGATGCAGTTGTTAGGTTGCCTTAGCTGCTGTGATGACTGTTCACTGGAATAAGGCAAGGAGACAAAGGGAAACCCTGTGTAATTTATGTGCATGTTTTTGTAGTGTGTAGAAATGTTCAGTGTACGTGACAGTCACTTTGGTTTTGTATTAAAAGTGGGAATCAATAAATGAATAAACAAATCAGTAAATAAAATCTGTTTGCACTGCTTGGATTATTTAACCTTACCCTTTAAGGCTTGTTTCCCTACGCATGGATTAAGCCGAGTTTTGGACGGCACTGTTAAAATGGGAGGTCAGCTCAACTCAATGATATAGTAACTGATTGCATGGCTTTTCTTGAGTTGACTCAACTTGAGGACACCAGTGTTCACGCAACTCAAACTTCTTAGTCGAGTCAAAAGTTCTCTTAATTTGTTAGTTCTGCGTCTCAGTTGGGTAAATAAAATGAACTTTTTTTTTATAGTCAACTTCCCCACTAGCCAGGACTCGTTCCATTACACAATCCTGCAAGACGTTTTTCCTCTTGGGTACACACTTATGGACGGCTACGGCATTACTGGGGCTCAAACTCAACCTCCTATTGGGGTGATGGTTCAGTCCACTGCACCACTCAGGAACAAATGAAGCAACTCAAGATTTTGTGTCTACAAATGTTTAATATACTGGAGAAAATATTTGTTGTTTTAACAAGGCGTCGTCTCATGTGGTGCAACTGTCTAATAATTCATCCCAACATCAGGAGATTGAGTTTAAATCCCAGCAATACCATAACTGTCTGTACTGGAAGCCCAAGAGGAAAATCTGCCCGATGGGACTGTAAAATAAAAGGAGTGCCAGCTAGAAAAAAAAATGCAACTTCAGTTTTGTTTATCTAACTGAGATTCAGTCCTAGAAACAGTAGCTTGACTCAACTAAGAAGTTTGAGTTGAGTGAACTCTGGTGTCCTCAAGAAAAGCCACGTAATCAGTTACTATATCATTTTAAGTTAAGCTTACCTTTTACAGTTTATATTTGCAGTGCCAGTCACCATTGGAATTTCTTTTTAGTCTAGGTTTAGGCTTAATCTGGGTCTGGAAAACTGGCCCTTAATGTATAACTGTCCACAGAAAAAGCACAGCCCTCAAAAAACAGGCATAATAAAGTTGCGAGCAGCGTCCCAAACTCAGGTAAACACAATTAAAATTTATTTAACTTTGGTCAAAAATAATCAAACAAGTGTACACTTCCACAATGTTAGCATCATCATTATTTAACAAGGAACAAGGCCAGAGAGAGAGAGTACGTCCTTTGACCTGTACTGTTCCCAAATTTATAGAGCGTCACAATCAACTATACAACTTTGTACTTTTCAACCGTTAAGTTACGTTTGTGATTTTTTTTCTTCCTTTTTTTCCCTTCGATCACAAGGTTTGTCGCTGCCTGTGAAAATCTAGCAGCGCACAATCCGTGCGTTTTGTCTCTGATAAACCTGTCCTGATGTGAGACTGCTAAGGATTTGTTTATCTTATGCACAAATATTACAGCCTTGCTGCTCTGCTGAGCAATTTGTGCAGAAATACCTCAAATCAGCACTCAAAACCGAACTTGGATTTACTGGAGGAAAGCCAGGTTTTTTGTTTGTTTCAGAAGAGGCACTCGACTCGACTGCTTCGATGGATCTGATTTTTCAAAGGTGTTTTACATTTCTCGTCACTGACCACAAGATGTCTTGATTAGTAGTGTCCAGATACGAAGCCACACATACTGTAGCAGCAAGTATACGCACCGATGGACTGAAGTAATGCATTGTGAGAAAGGGGAGTGGGGATAAGGATCTTGGGTAAAGGAAGGGGAGGAAGGGGGGAGGCGTTAAAGATACAATTGGATATTTATGGTTACTATGGAGAATCATTATGGGATTCCCCACTATAGTCATACAGAGATTTAAGGCTGCAGCATCCCTTTTTTATAAAAAAAAAACAAAGTTGTCAGCCCGAAAGCTGACTGGAGAGTCAACGGCAATACTGACACTTCTTAAAATGGCCAAATGTCCTCAACTGTACAGTGCGACTGCAGCTTCAAGTAGTACTATACTGAGAATTGTTTAACCAGCTGCTTACAGAGGCATTTCCACCTCATCAGTTTTGCTTGTCTTCCTCAGCTGTCTAGCATTACTGCCCAGGAAAAGCATTCTTGCTAAGAGGTTCTGCCTCGCCAGACAGTGCCCCAAGGCTTTCCTTCAAGGCTCTAATGGGCTCACTGGCAAGTCAGCGACTGCAAACCACAGAAGCAAGAAGCATCCTCTACCGCATCGGTCGCAGACAACCCAAGATGAAGGTGAACTGGCACGTAGGTGGACTTCTCCTTTTAAGTAGCTGGCAAGAGATCAGCAGGATGACTTCACATTTCATTACTGGCGCTCCAAATCCACATAAAATGCAGATCACATGCAAAATACAGAAGACAAAAATAAAAGCCCATACATACCTGCTCATAATGTAAAAAACGCTTTCTCTGTGTAGTTTTGTTACTTTTATTAAGTGGTTTGACACCAAGACGGTGTGGTTATATATAGACACAGTCAGTGAGTAGATGTTACTATGCATGAGAAATAAACAAAACGAGGAGGACAAAACAAAATCTGTATTCTGTCCACTGACCAAAATGGAGACCTCTGTTAAGTGCTTAAAGTTAAAACACCAAGGCCTGTGAATGAGGCCGGGGGGAGGAATGTTGACAGGCATCGACAAGCCCAAAAAAAAAAAAAAAAAAAGTCACTTTTCCTAAAGGCCTGGGTTTTCAGGTGACAGAGACTACATACTGTTCTGACAGCGAGACGATGGATACGCTCTTCCTCAGGTGTTTTCCGTCATTTTGGTCGACAAAAACGCAAATAAACTAAGGCTCAGACTGGAAAAAAGAAGAGAACACAATTGTGACTGCTGAAAAGTTGATTTGGCCTCCGTGTTGAGTGCTTTTTGTCGATTCTGCTCAGCTGTGCTTGGGGGGGGGTGGAGGATAAGGGTGGGTGTTGGCCTTTTCCTGGTTTTTCAAGGGGCGAGGTGGTGGGTCTTTTATTAGGGGTCTTGACTACGCCCTCATGACAAGGCGTAGGTAAAAGAAACACGCGGTCTCATTTCCCTCGGCTACACGTGAAAGAAAAAAAAAAAAATACGAGTGCATCAATTCTTCCGTAAGGAGAACAAGGCTGCAGCTTCTCTTTACTGACTGTAAGGACTAGGCTATGGAAAGTACAAGATTTTTTTTTTGTTATTTATTTTTTTCATGTGTCCTGTCCTGTGCCGGGGGGAATAAGGTGGGGATATTTCTTTATTTCGATTTTCTCTGCTGTTTTTCCCCATATTTTCCTTTGCTTAGTTAATTTTGTCCTGGAATATATACAGGTTGTTGGTGGCAGCCACTGCTATGACGTTCTCTTTTGGGTGCCAGGCAGTGTGCAGGATCTTCTTGTTGAAGTCCAGGCTGTCCACGCTGATCTCGTCCTTCTTCCGTTTGCCTCCGGTGCACACTTTGCGTGGTTTGAGCATGGCACGCGGTTTGCTGTTCTCCCGGGACGCCTCCAGCGTGATGTCCCGGCGTGTGTTCCGGTCAAACATCCTGAAGAAGTTGTTGTAGGAGCCGGTCATAATGGCACTGCAAGACAGCACAGAAGAGAACAGGAGAGAAGGGGTCATTAAAACTGCATGAACAATTGCATGCATTATGCAAATAAATCAATCAATCAATCAATCAATCCTTCATTTCAATAGTGATTCTGGAACAATGCCTTATTTTGTGACCTTCTTTTAAATTACAAACAGGAAGCTGGTGTGGGGTACTGGTCCTGGATGTAAATATATTTATTGATTATAATGAACTGCAGACTAATCAAGAAGAGCTGGTTTTAATACTGCTTACAGAAAACATATTTATATAGCTAATCAGTCTAGAGTTTGGAACAAGCCTTACAGATGCTTACAAATGCTAAGACTGACTACTTTGATGTTGAAATTTGGTACTGAATGACAGTTCTTGAATACTCAGCAGTACTGAAGTAATTCAGTTGGCACCATAAAGGTATCACATTTTGATACCCAGGCCTGATGTTTTAGAATGTTTGATTATAATCATTTCGAATAACATTTGATACATAATTATTTTTAATTATGAATTATTTTCAAAAAGACTTCTGAATCACAAAAAACATCAAAATCACATCATGTGATGGTGAAACTGGAGATTTCCTAATGTAAATTATTTTCTAAAGAATCATATTTGATTTAAATCATTCTGAGATGAGGACCTCTACTACTGATAGACTGGAATGATTAGGGATTTTTCTAAGTAAGAAAACGTCTGAGCAGTGAGGTTAAATCTCATACCTGTCTGATCCATTCCAGCAGCACTCGAACTTGTCAAAAATGCAGTCGTTTTCATACAACGAGCACAGCTTGCTACGAAGGTATTCATGTACCTACAAACACAATGTTACAGATTTAACAGGCAGACAGAACAACATGGTTACAGAACAGTGAGTTGAACTTTTTTGAACCTAAATTAATCACTGCCAATTCCACCCATTACACAGGCCTCCCCATCACACAATGCTGCTAAGCTGGGAGGGTGAAGATTGCTGCCTCTGAATGCATGAAGTACCACCAAATTTTTTCAAACTGTGTCACTGGACAGCTCACTGTGCTTTGAGGAGAACGCCAACTGCCAATTCAGTTATGCAAGCTAACAGATGCCTGCATTGGCTAGCATTGCGCAGGGTGATTTGGCTGGAGAGACAGGGCCACCCTAGCCACGCAGAGTGCGCAATTATGCTCTCTTGGACTCATGGCCAACATCTAAGCAATTCTATGAATTACTATAAAGGACGTTTTGAAGCTTGAAAATTGTACTTCAACTAACATTCTTACTTGAAACCACCTTAAATGGCAAAATCAGAAACTCTGTGGTGAATATTCAGCATTCCATAAATGTGAAAAATCAATGTGAAGGTCAAAAAACACCACATCATTTTTCTAAAGACTCTTTGTCCAGTCTCTGGACAAACCTGGTCCAGGAAACCATCAACCTAGCGGGTTTAGAACGTGTTTAGTATTAATATATAACGTCTGCCATATGGTACCTGGTAGGTCTCTACAGGCCGGTTCTCCATGTTGAGGTCCCACACCTTCACGGAAAGGTAGTCTCGGGTCATCATGTATCGGCCACTGTGGCTGAACTTGACGTCAGATATGGAGGAGATGATTTCTGAGAAGAACGATCGGCTGCTCGGATCTTCAGGTTCTTCGAAAACTTAAGCGGAAGAAAAGAGAACGAGCGATTTCTCAAATCAAAAAGCTTAAAACCATAATGAAGTGTTCCCAAAGAGCAAAGTCAACAACAATACCTCAGAAGGCTCAGAAGGCGATCATATCCAAATGAGTCTAACAAAATCACTACTTTTTTTTTTATTGGGTAATGTGGGCATCTTGAACAACTACAGATGTTCCACATGTGTTTCTGTGGGTGTTTTGATGAATCAAAGAATTCAAATAATCCAACAAATTTAAATTGTTTCGGTCCAAATATTGCAAGCCAAACTTTAATCAAACCAGGCATTTGCTGTGTCTTTTTAACATACTGTGACGCACATTACAATATGTAATGATATAATCACACAATGGTATTTTGTCCAGATTTTGTGGACCTAGTTAAGGTGCATTCCCCCTCAAAAATATGAAAGCTGAGCATCTGCTATTGTGTAGTACAACTTCTGTACTGACATTATTAAGACAATTATTTGAACACGGTCACAAAACCAATGCCTTAAATAAGTTATCTTTAAGAAATAGATCTGTATATCAAGTCTCATGCAATAAAAAATAATATTAATTATGTAGAGTAATTATGGGGAAGAACAGAACAGAACATATAATAACGGTACTTTTCAAATGTGTGTGCATGTCTGTTGATTATGAGATGGCAAAAATGAGCAACACTGTTTGTTTTCTTGACCCACAGTGAATGTACCAGAATAATTACATAATTCAGTGATTATGCAACAGAGACTTGCTGACATTAAAACAGAAAAAAAACAACCAAAAAAAACCACCTCACTTTAAAACCACACTAAATGGGTCGTAGCTCACAGTCTCTCTGTGATCAAACGAGCAAGGTCCTGGTCTCATGACCCAAAGGAGCAGATCGTTTTTTTTTTTTGGTCGGTTTTGTTTTTTAATGTCCTCAAGGATTTTGGATGGAAAGTTGTGTCTCTATTCCAAAAATAATACTGAACCCATCTCAAAAATGGGCATGCCTTTTGTCCCTCTACTGTAAAAATAACTCCTCTGACCACAGCCACATTAAAAACACTGCACTGAAATGATCCACCTTACATTCTGAACCGTGCTGTATTGTATCCCACAGTGCATGACAGACAGAGAAAGAATGAACAGGAATGCTACTCACATTTGCTATGTCTATCGCAGAGGGCTGCCGCCCGCATGTCGCAGAGGCGGATGGTGCCCTTGCTGCTGCTGTACACAAACACGTTGCACTGGTGAGGGTGGCACTCTGCAGCCGTGATCACCTCCGTCAGCTCCTCCATATTGGCAGGCTTTATATCTACAATGTCTGGAGGAGGTGGAGCAGTAAAGGAAAGCAATGCCAAAAAGGGCCAGTATTGAATTAAAAAAATAAAATAAAAAATAAGAAAGCACATTACTGAGGCAGAAGGGATTGTCATGACTGTGGGTCTAGTATTAACCCCTTACATGGCCAGTTTTATTGCACACATTTATTACCTAAGAAAAGCTCAGCGAGTTTACACTGAAGTGCCTTACTGAGGGCAATGGTTGCTAAAACAGTGATAAAATAGGAGCAGCCAACTGTACATCATTCAACCTTCTTGGTTCTCACAATTCCACTATGATCACTGATACCCTGACTTGGATATTTATTTTCAATACACTGTTAGAAATAAAGGTTCTGTGCAGGTACATTTTTCATTCATCAAGGTACAAACAACGTAAATGTTCCCCCAAAGGTACAACAGTAGTTTCAAGGTCCAACTGTGAACCTTAAGTTTTTCTCAGAGGATAATATTTATATATTTTTTTCATAAACTAATGTTTTAAAACAGAACAATAAAATGAAAAGCCTGGAGACGAGACAGGGTGTGTGGAGTCAATACAACTTAAATATAATTTCATTGGATTATGATACAATTATGTTACCTGACTAAAGGTACTGAGATGTACGCTTCAGGGTACCACCCCAGTGACAAGAGGGGTACTGCCCCAGTGACAGCTTCATACCTTTTATTCTGAGAGTGTGCCATCTTATGAATCCAGCTTTAAAAAAGAAAATTACTCAATGTGTAAATATGGTACTGAATGACTCTAAAAACTGATCTAAAACTTTCAAAAACTGATGATCTAATCACTACAACAATCTTTTGTACCATCAACACACAAAAAAGCCATCAAGATGCGCACATTAAACAAGCACTTTCGAAAAGGATACTAAAACTTCTATCTGTGATTTCTAAGTGCCATAGGTTTATTCTTAGGTCATCTGCAGACAGGTATGTTTCATGATCGCTATTTACTGAAATGGAGTTGATGTGATATGTGTGTGCATTTGCAAATATTCTGCGGGGGCTGGCTTCCACCATCAGGTCCATTGGCATCAGCACAGGCACCTGTGGAGGATCGACAGTGGAAATTAGAGAACGTTCAGCAAGAATGAGGCATTTTACGCTTTCATAAAATTCAAGACTCTGATGTTTCTTTAAACAAGTTTGAGTTTTTGTAGATTCAGCAGTTATTAGGTATTATAAAGAACGGCTAGATCAAACATGTTAATGTGGGTAATTCTGTATGGACACTAGTGTCATTACTTAGGAGGAGCTCACTGGCATAATGCTAATTTGTGCTAAATCGTTAAAGGGAAACTGCACAATTTTTCAAACCTTCTGCATAATTATGATGTTGAACTACTAATAATAAGATATAAAAATGTCTTTTGATGTGAACTCATTCATTCTAGAGAAACGCACTGAATCAGAATTGTTCACAGTGGTAGTGATAGGAACCAGACATCTGAAGCATTTCATGTATTTTTTCAAATCCATTCAAATTCATGGTGGTGGGGTACATGCAGGGCATTATAGGACAAAATAACCCCCAAAGAAAACCTACTTTTTTCAGATTTACCACTAACAACATTACATATAAAACTTGAAGATGTGTAGGTTCACTGGTGTTTTGGATAATAAACAAAACGGATATATTTGTTGTAGACACTGTGACCCCTGGTTCCCATCACCACCACCGTAAACACAATTTCAGTCAGTAAGTTTCTGTACAAAATACTCTTTTACATCAAACTATTCTGAACGAAATTTAAAAAAAAAAAACCTTTAAAATTTAGCAACATCAGTATTTTGGACCCAACAATTCAAGTAGGTCCTATGATATCAAACAGCACACAAACTACATACACTCCACACACTGTAAACTATCAGAAACTGACCGGCCAAAGCTTAAATGTACAGAAAACATAAGGACTGAAAGCAATTAATCTTTTAACGTCACTGGTCTGTGCTGCCCATTGTCTCCCGACAAGAATTCTTTCTATGCTTCTAAACAAACAGAGACAGGAAACAGAGTCCAAAGGGAGCGTGATGACGCGAGCAGGACGGATGAACTTGCCCTTAGTGTTGTGATTCTAAAAGGATCTCTCAAACGCCCATCTTCATCTTTCAGATTGTAGCCCTCTGCTCGTTTGTCTCTTTCGCTGATCTTCCACAGCTTGATGGTTTTGTCTTTTTTCATAGGAAGATAAAAGAACAGTCACAGGGTAAGAGACAGCACAGCCTAACCTTCAGGTCTTCTAACAGTACGTGACAAGGGTAAGAATAATTAGCTGAGACATGCAGAGGAGTAATAATTCCACTGTAAATGTGTTATTGACTCGTTTAAACTAACACAAAAACAGCAAATGAACAATTGTTAAACTATCTGCAGCTTAAAAAATTAAGTAAAACAAAGGAGTCTCACCGTTTGTGGAGAGCAGAAAGTGAGCAGCGTTCTGTTGGGGTAGCCATCTGATTTTATTGATTTTCTCTTCAATTTCTAAACTTTTCAAATAATCAAACTCCGGTTCATGACTCTGGAAAGTGCTGTACACATTGTACTCTCCTCTTGAGAGTGGGCGATTTTTACTCTGAGGAGAGAAAAGGGACAAAAAAGAAATAAATTAAATTCCTTTTAAAAAAGGGCAACTTTGAAAGCAAGCAAGCATCAAGCACAGTCATGTCTAGCAAAGGAGAAATGGCTCTATTTTTGTCAACCCAAAGAATGGAGACGAATGGTGCATTCACCCTGCAATATTACTGCTCTTGAAATGCTGACAAAGCTGTAAGTACAAGTAATAAACTTGAGTACACTCAAGTTTTGCCATCATCCTTAGAGATGTGTAGAAAACACTGATCTGAAAATATATCGGTTATAAGCTTGAAATGATATGAGTATCGATACAGCGATGCCTGAACTGGTAATCATGAATTCACTTTTACATGGTGCGTGTGTGCAAGTGAAACTGACACTGCATTCACGTCTCAAACAGCAGCATTTACATCATCCATCACAAGGCAAACATGCCCTAATAGTTAAGAGTTTTGCTCTTTATTTGTTGTTATTCATATAAAAATGTGCATAGGAGAAGAATGTGATCCACTCCAGCCCCTTCAGCGCAGTCTCTCACGCACAGGTCCGAATACTGACTACTGCCTGTGCTGCAGCCTTTACTAAAGTGCTGAAATTGCACTCCTCTGCCTCACCTCAGTGCAAACCACACCTATAATACAGATCTCCAGCAGCATTATTTATTCTCATTCTATTTTTTTTTGACTATTTTTTCCTCTTCTATTCTCTCTCATCATTCTCCTTTCACAACCTTTTTTATTTATTGTTAGTGTACATCTTAAAAGAACATTTAAGGTAAACATTAATACAAAATGTCTGTGGTACATCTGGTGTGTTTCATCACTGTAACGTATTGTGATGCTTATATTGTGATGTGTATCATATCATGAAGTTGCTGACAGTACTCAGCCCTAATCACCATGCAGAAAATTAGCACAGTAGATCAAGCTGGCATTGATCCATTCATACTGTTCACTAAGGCTGGGCGTTATAACCGTATACCACTGCATGCAACAACGTTGAAGGTATTTAAAAATTATGGCATTTCAAAATTATGACCTGTCAAATTTCTATTCCACAACTCAATAGATAAACACATTCCAGCCATTCATATTTTAGATGTGTGAGCTCACAGACAGGGAGCCCTAAATGAAAAAGGGGGAAATCAGAACAGAAAAACCCTCAGAAAAACTGAGCATGACTGCAGCTCAGCCACGGCAAAAAGTTGCACATATCAGGACCCACATGCTCTGCACAAACCATGTAACATGTTCGATTTCAGCTTTCATTCCGACACCACTCTTGACTTTGCGCCATCCTCTAAACCCCATGTGTCAAACACAAGGCCCAACACAATTCTATCCGGCCTGCAAAAGTATTTTAATTTTCTATTAAAATTAGCTGTTTCTCAGTGCTCTATACTACAGTCCCCAGCATGCACTGCAACATAACGTGCACCCCAACTCCCCTACCCCAACAACAATCTTTGGGACAGGAGTTACACCTTAGCTCTACACAGTTCTACACAGTTCCACACCAGTCGTACTACCAAACAAATAACTGCAGTTCAGCCAATATAAACAATTAACATTTATAAGTTTTAATGAACTTACTGCAAAGAAAGGATGCCAGGTGTCTAGTTCAAGCAAATAGGTACGTTTAAAAGACTGAGCTCCTGGTGGCATTTAAATTTTGAATATTTCAAGTATTAATTTAATATTTCAAGGTCTACTACAAGCACCTATATTTTACTGCTGACATTTTTGCGTATTTTGAAAAAACAACTGTCAGTTCGATTTATAACAAAACATTAATTAAAAATGAATAAAAAAAATTGTTCTCTGGCCCACGGATTTGTTGAGCGTTTTAAATATGGCCCTTTTAGTGGTTGAGTTTGACACCCCTGCTCTAAACGGATGTTATTTTAGCATCAGTTAGCTATAACTATACTGTGGTGTGGCACGATCGGCCTGCTAACTAAGCTCTCTGCCAAACACCACAGAACAGGTTGGATTTAGGCTTACTGTCACTCTATATTCGCTCTCACACATTTTCATCATCTAACTTTGTGTCAACACAGCAATAATTTTGAGAATCAAACCTGTGCTGCGGTGGGAGGCACAGTTTGGGTGGCGGGAGTGTAGCCTGCTCGCTAAGTTAACATTAAGATAGCATATCAGGCTACAGAACCAAAACCCCACTGAACAGGTTTAATTGCACCTTTTTGTCCCTTCAGTGGCTTCTCAATTTCACTCTCAGTGTTTAATCATTACTTTTAATCAACTAAACTTGTGTCAGAGCTTTAGCTTCACACAATCCAACATGTTCTGTGGTGGGCAGTGCTGTAAACAGCCCCTCTCTCCTGGTTAGCACCACTGCTTAACTTATCAATTTTACCAATTTTCGATACAGAAATTATGCTAGACATGATGACAAAAAGCAATATGATTGATATGATCCTATCACCAGTAGCTCAGCTTTATTTTTTAATTTAATAAACACAAACACAGTCATACTGTATACCCGGTGAAATGTCAGGAAGGTATGAAGGTATGAAAAAACAGATCTCTTAATCTGATGACTTTACTTGTTGACAAGGACTGTCTGAAGGAACCATAAACTGGACGCAGTTCTTAAACTAAAGCCCCATTCAGACGAGATCATTTTTCCATGCTAGTTTACCTTAGGATGTATGAGCGATTCGTAAGGGATCTCATTAATCACGGCCTAAACGAGAGGGATAAAAGTGGCTACTTGATTTACACATCGCCTTCTAAAACATTTGACGCTAAAACATTTAATTTAGTCGTTATTACGTTTATCCTAACCTCGCCGTCTTAAATGAATCAAAAAATCTGAAAATCAAAACTCTAATTTTTACATGTTCTGAGTTGTTTTACACGTAAAGACAGGACAGTAATGTTACACATCGGCTTGATTTTATCCACAGAGAAACACGAGGCTGAAGTTGGCTCCCTATTCACCAGCTTCTTGTTCGAATTTTCCTGTTCCATCTTAAACGGTGCAGCAGTTACATTCTGGCGCTTAAGGTCTTATAATAACCGCCGCACCGTTTATGGAAGAACCGGAAAATTCGAACAAGAAGGTGGCGAATAGGAAGCTTCAGCTTTGTCTGAGAACACAAATAAACACTTCTTCAAATGCCTCCATACTTAAGGAACTCCTTTTCCACATGATATGACAGCAGACACAGGCATGTCGAATTCTTACTGACGTGGGAGCACGAGGTCAGCAAAAATGACTCATGTGGCGCAACTGAACAAAGCCGGTAATAGTTACATTACCCCACCTCCTCAAGTAAAACTAATCCCATCAGAATAAGGCTTCTGTCCACAGCAGCAAAATTAAGCTGCAAAATGTTTGTCTTATCCAACGTTTTACCTCGTGTATCTTACCTCTTGTTCTCGCTGAAATATGACGACTCTTCCACCTTTGTCTCCTGTAGCTAGTAGTTCCCCCGAGTAGTTAAATTCAACAGTTGAGATAATGTCCGCTGGAAAAAAACAAACAGGCAAACAAGGAAAACGATCATTAGTTACACAGCCAGAGGGACAATGACTCCATGAACTCCATACAGACACTTAAATGAACGGTAGTACAATAACGGTTTTCCTCTTTAGACTCTCCGAACTTCCTACTGCTGGCTCTGTGAACCATTTCCCCCAATCAGGTGAAAAGATATGACTTCAGATGCAGAATAAACTACCTGGTAACTCTTCCTCCACTGCATTCATCACCTCACAGGCAGCACTAGTGACATTACAATTACTCTGTCTGGTTTCATGCATAGTTTGCACAGCCTAAATCAGACACAGCCACCCAAACCCCCACCCCCTTTAAAAATACACCTCTATGGAGGGTAAAGACAGGGGGGCAAAACAAGCATGACTCAGTGTTTCTGAAAGAGTGTGTAGCACAGTATGGCCTCCAAGCCTGCATTCAGCACACACTCACATACGCAAGCGCAAAGTCATACGTAACTGGCCTAAATTTAACAGAGCCTTCACGCCCAGGAGGGTTGCAGGAGGATATTTACACCAAAATAACCCCAAGAAGAAACAAGCTACACTGAAAACTCACAGGATAAGATTATACGCTAACTGTTTAAAATCAGTAACAAACTACCACAGTTTCTGTCTTCTGTAATTAAAGAAGTAACCATCATAGCCACACACGCAAACAAACAGAGCCATCTGTGTTCCACTTTGAACGTTTATTTAGCTCGAGAGCATTGCGTCTTTAGCCCAGAGGTGTAATAATTCACTTCATAAATTGATAAATCAAATGAATACAATGCACAGGTGCCTCAATTCAACACATTTTTGACAAACGGTCTGTTACAGTGGGTCTTTAGCTAATGTGTCGTCTATATTCCAAGACAAAATAACATCAACTGTAAAAGGAAGAACAGTATTTTCACACAGTCTACACTTTTCCCCACAAGTTCTCCTCACGTATACTGACAGCCATCCAAGCTTAATTGGTTTTAACACGTTTTAATGACCATTTTGTCCTATTTTTAATCCAAAATATTTCATATTGTTGTGTATAAACAAGGGCACACTTACAAACTTGTATTAACAAATACACACGATATTAAAAAAATAAATAAAGTGTGATTCTCCCCAGACTTCGGCCTCACAGTGGCTGAGTGATGAGCGGATCAGGCATCATTTATAAGCTAACAGTGGATGCGAACGCAGCATGAGAGATTTACAAACAACTGCTCAGGAACGAAACAGCAATCTTTTTGGTTTGAAATGAATTTATGATCTTGTAAATGCTCTGTAGTGTAGTTGGCCAATAATGACAATGCTGACACACACTGGCATTGCAGTCAGCTGCTTAGCTAAAAGCACTGCTGTTCAAGACTTTTTCACCGACTATTTTTTTGCACCTTCACTCACCGACCAGTCACTCTGTTTTCACACAGACGACATGAATGAAGCGGGAGGTGCGGCAAAGAGCAAAACAAAGCTCTTTACCTGGAAAAGTACACACTGTGTAAGATGTACTGAACTAGAACTCACAGAACAACTAATGAGGGCTACTGCGCCCTAAACTGCAGTCTTCTTTCTCACTCCATGACTCATGGATCATTTCCAAACGCTTCAGGTTTTTGGCAAAGAAACATCAGGGGACGCCTTAGTTTTATCAATACTATTAATTAATTATAATAACTTTTGAAGGTGCTTGAATTGCTCAATCAAATCATTGAATCAAACTGCTGTTCAGTGCATTGAATCGAATTGTTCTTTGTTCACAAAAAATGTTTCTGAATTGAAAACCAAAATATCCTGAATGAAATCAATTCGCCTCTCAACTCTCGTCCCTACAATCAACAAATTACTACTCCATCTGCCAACGTTACGAAGGTGTTGCCTGGCTGAAATGCTCGGTCAGTGCATTGCCTGTTAAAGATCGAGCCACATCTGAGGGAGAACGCCGTTGACAGCTAATGCCAACCATACACTAGAAGACTTTGACTCTGAAAAGACTTAAAATACTAAAGCCTGATCCTCTGACATCTAAAGACAATGTGCCATAACTGAGTTTTTAGCCACAGACTATGATTTTGCAAAGACTGGGAATCTTGCAGGGTGTAATGGCCAGTAAAAGTGCACTGTTCCTTTAGAGGTGCTCAAGTAGTGTGTGCAGAAGCTGCTGTGCGGTAGAGAAAGAGTTTGCGCTGTAAAATGATCTCATCTTACTCTCTCCTATTTTCTTTTAGTAAATAATGCCACTATAGGGCTTTGAAGTGGTTTTAGTTCATGTATGAAGGGACAGAAGCCACGAGACACAGCTTTATGTGGTCAAATAGCTAAAAAACTAACAAGTTGGAATATTTTCAATGTGTGTCCGAGTCACTGGTTAGTATCTACTCCATGTGCATCAGGTTTCATCTGCTTATTTCTCATCACCAAAGCGCTCCGCTCTCTGGACTGGAGTGAAAGTGGAAGCTAGACTAACTCCAAGGCCCAATCCCATTTCACCCCTCGCCCCTTCCACTTTGCCTGAGCCCTCAATTTTGCCCGTACTCCGTCTAGGAGTAGGGTGTCCCAATATTTATTGAGAGAGAGGGGTGGGGCGAAGTCTTAGGGCTGCATGGCCCTCCAAACGGAGGTTTTTCAGAGGCACACTCAAAACAGAGTTATGAGGAAAAAAAAAGAAAAACCAGCAAGACGGCTGCGCGAGCAACCAAAGAAACCCACAAATATGAGCTTTTTCTCAGCTAAAAATTATGATAACTATATTATTTTAGTTTAATGTTGTTTCAATGCATTTTGGTCCTTTTCTTTATAACAAGCATTAAAAAAAAATCACTAGCAGTATGCTAATGTCTCTGTAACTAGCTAAATTTCCTGTTCCACCTTAAATAGTCCAGCAGTTTTGACACCTGAAGTGCCAGAATGTAACTGCTGCTCCATTTAAGGTGGAACAGGAAAATTCAAGCAAGAAGCTGGCGAATAGCTGACTTCAGCTTCATATCATCAAAGAATTAGGGGTGGGAGATAATAAATAATAATCACACACACAACTCTTTGAAGACGTATGATGCCCTAAATGTAACTAAAGCCCAGCAGTGATCACTGCAGACTGGCAGGGTCGCCTACAAAGCAGCGCTTGTAGCCTGTTAATAAAGTAATAATCTTATTTATTTGAGGGTCCCATTTCATAGGGAAGATTTCAACCACTACCCCCTGTAACTCCGTTCCAAGGGGCAAGGTGACGCTCGAAAACAAAGGGTAAGGGTAAAAATAAGAAATGGGATTGGGCCTTAGTGTTACAAGGATCACAATTTGCATAAGCCAAGACTAAAAATGATATACACCGTTGATTTTACCAGAACCTCACGATGAGTAAATCACTGGCTTAAGACAGCTATCCTGCCCACCCTACACCAACTGATCAAGTTTATGGCAGCGCACCACAACTCTAGCAAAACTCTCACGATTTTATTACGACACTGGAAATTTGTCTGCGACAGTGAAACCGCTTGAAAAGTCGTTTGGTGTAAGGTCGGCATGAGGGAAGGAACAAGCAGTTGCAGTTATTAACAAACCCAATATCACCTTCTGTCAGCTCAGCACATCACTCCCTTCCAGAAGGAAAGAAAGCTCAGAGGAGAAAAGATGACAGAGCTGAGAATATTCTACAGCCCTGAACCCCTGACACGGCGCACTATTGCAATGCTAGTGAGGATGAGTGCCCTGCAGAGCAGTGCCAGGGCAAAGATGAATGACCCATCTCTGCCTGAGCTAATTCTAGCACTACCTACAGCTATGACTACACCATCACTCCTGCACAGAGATAAAATTAGCATATTACTCCAATACAAACCGCAAAGCGTTCCCAACAATATGATCTGTACTGACATATGATTCATTATTCATTCTACTAAAATATAGTCTTGGTAAATATAAACAAGAAGATCATGAATGACAGAAAGACATCACAGCACTGATCTACCTCCCCACCCATTTCATTTATACAATTGGAATGAACTCGTAACAATTTCTTACAAATAAATACAATTAACTCAAAGCATTTTAAAGGCAGGAAAGATTCCATAAGCTGTGATCCAAGACTGTTTTAGTGCTCGTCAGCCCACACAGTATCATCAATTATTTAGTCATACCATCCCTACACCGTCCCAGCATGTTCTACTTCTCCGAGCAATGCGAGTGACTCAATCTTGCTCCTCATGTTGCATATTTACATTACTTATCTAGATGTAATGATTAGATAAAGGAACCACCCCCCATTAACATTGGCATTTACATCCATTCACTTAAACACCATAATGGAAAAGGAAAATACATCTGATTAGTATTTTTATTTTCAAGACGACGTGGATCGGGGGTATTCAAGCTTGAAGAGACCACTCCCATCACAGCAGGAAATTCTTCAAATATCTCAAAAAAATAAGTAAATTATGCAGAACAGTACAATAAGGCACTGAGTTAGCTCTGGAGCCACAACTGTACTGCGATTTCTGTTTCATATTCACAGAATTTTTAAATTCCACATTCATTCGAGCATTTGAATCATGCTGGAAGCTGCTCATACCACAAGAAGCCAAATTCCTACAAGTTATGAAAATCCTTGGTTGTTGATCTAGAAGCCGAAACATGATTCAACAGAGCCGATGAGACATATTCTCGTCCACATGCTCATCTATGTAACTGTGCTGTGCTGGTTTGCAGGTATTCACCTCCAGGGTTCAGAAGAGGCGTAGATAACATTCATTTTTCACATATCGGCATTACTCCATAAAGTCCACTGCAGGATAGAGCTGTGCTCATAATGTCAATTCAGAAATATGTCGCAAATAAACTCCTGTTGATGTGCAAACTGATAAGGAATGAATGAAAGAATGAATCGGATCCAATGCTGTTACAAATCTAGCCTGAAATAGCACTCGCTCTCACTGTGTGATGTAATGTTGTTAGCTGTGCAGTTCTTCCTGCAGAGTGTCTGAGCATGATCTTACTTTTAGATGACAACCTTAAGCAAAGGGTGTTAATTAGAAACAACTCACTTTAAAGCATAATAGTTTTTACAGATGGAAAATTTCAGATTGGTATCAATATCGGCTGATAAAAACTGGTATCAAGCCATCTCTACTTTCAGAACATTGTTTTTTTATGAACAATACACTTAAGCCACGTAGCAAAAGCAAAGCTCAGATTAAATACTCAAGCAAAGCAATACAATTTTAGGATGTTCAGAAATTATCCTGAAGATTTACAAGCTATCAAACCCACTGACCATCACTCATCACATCAGGTGTGCTCTCCTCTGTCGCATCGTATCATTACACTTAAATTGCAGTATGTTTGCATCACAAAGCTGCAAATTCTGACCACAATTATGCCAATAAACTCTGGTCAAAATAAAGCTTGCAAAATAATGCAGGATAGATGTAACCTGTTGGTTTTAACAGAACGTCCATGGAGCCACCGCAGTACATAACAGCATAATTTCAATTATATTTTCTCTTTATCGTGTGGAAGTTTCAGTACTCTGCCATTTTTATTTTTTCTATCAGAAGGCACAATATCACGTCTACTACGCAACTAAAACACACAGGAGTGCAAACTAAACGTCACTGGACTTGAACACAGTGGAAAGTTCTGTTTGTTTACAGCAGCAAGATGATGAAACTTGACACGAAGGTCATTGAACTCCAACAAAAACAGATTTAATGACATACATACATAAAATTTATTTTGAGTTTAAATAAACGTGCTCAAAATATCAGAATGCAGCTCAAAGACGAAGGGTTAATCCTGGTTACATGGCAATGTGCAATATTCAGTACTGATATACAGTTCAGTACTGAGCCATTATGGTCAGCATCACTGGTGGAATCGCAAAGTTCAAAAACCACGTCTTTTCATTCGAAGGCGCAAAAAACACGCTGGGTGCGAAAAACAGACAAGCACAGGTAAATTCAAAATAAAATATAAGAAGCCTGAACCATTCCTCATGTAAGTATTGTTACTTGAGAACTGCAGCGGAATTCTTTAGCACATACAGCATCTATCAGCAGAGGAACTGTTAGGCTCTTCTCTTCCTTCTTGATGCAATCTTGATAAAAAAATAGCGACAAAAACAAAATGGACAAATTACAGATCAGTACAGACGCTGTTTCCAATGTAACAAAGAAATTAAATAGAAAAACACGGAATCAGTAACTAAATGATATTGACTAAAATGCAACTGAATAAAAAGCACACCCCTTTCATAACTAATATACCTCAGTAGAAGGAAAAGCATGAGTTGAAAATGCTCAGCAAAGTACAACTTCACCAAACTTTTACTTGGTTATATTATTGCTGATACAACAAAACCTTGCATTTCCAAAAGAAGTGATTCTGCTGGTCCAATCGCTATGAAATGTATGACGTTTTCAAATCATGTTAAAAAATAATAAAAATAAAATAAGACAAAAAGGAGACATACGATTTCGTTTAGACAGCAATAACACGTTATTGTAACAGTATACTGTAATAACAATAACAGCTACTGTTACTATTTCCTACCCACCTCTACAAAACACTGACTCGGCTGAATCGAGCGTACACATACCCATGCTGGAGAGTGGGACAGTGCCATTACAGCGCTCTGGCAAGCTGCAGCCGTCACTCGTGTGACAATATTTTGATGGGACAGTCTGCAAATCGGCCAATTAAAGCCACTGTCTCTCCTGCCTACTGATTGATAGAGACGAATGGGCTCGTCTGGGGGAGCTGTGGTCGCCCCTCAGTGACAATGTTTAATTTGATGACTAAGCAAATTACCTGAGTGGCGTAGTCAATAACTAACCCGATCTTTCCCCTTCTGCCCCTTCAGCACATTTCTCAGAACGGAGGGGAAAACAAGGGAAAAAGAATTGTGGACCTGAGAACACAGCACTGCAACACAAACACCACAGGCAGCGAGTACACAGGCACTGAAGGTGACCAGCCTGCAGAGTCTGCCGAAGAAAAGACAAACGACTCGCCCCAGCATGGGCTAGTTTTCAGCTCAAACACGCTCACCACGCACCCATCGCTAAATCACATCTCCGATCCGGACAGAGATACAATCAGAGCAGCACAAACAATAGATGATCACGTGACGCCCCAAAACAGGAGAGGAAAAAAAATATATATAAATAAATAATGTACCACCATTCAAAACACAGACCCAACCCAACTTCACTAAGCTCCAAACAGATGCCGAGAAACGGACACATACCCATCCTGGAGCGCAGCGAGAGGCCATTATAGCTGGCTTAAAGGCTGTGGCTGTCAGCAGTGGGGGAAGATTTAAGTGCCTGGGAGAAGCCGCAGCAGCAGCAGCAGCGCTGCCTCGTCTGCAGAGAGGAGAGCGTGCGAGGAGAGATGCTCGGCCATGTTGGACAGGTAGGAGGGACCCCCCACGTGAGCGAGAGACTAGGGGACCCCCTCAGAGGGAGCTGCAGTGGCAATAGCCACATGATACTAGCGTCAACAGGGCTATTAATATAGCAACTAGCAGAGAGAGAGCGAGTGAGTGAGAGAGAGAGAGAGAGAGAGAGAGAGAGAGAGAGAGAGAGAGAGAGAGAGCTAGGGGGTGGGGCAGAAGACAAAAA